TGTACCCATGCCTAGGAAGACATGGCTGCGTCACAGGATATATCTTTAATTTTACCAGATGACGTCAAAGTGCTCTGTTCTGATTTATAGCCCCACCCGTAATAAGTACTCCAACGATTCCATGCCCTGCTCAATACTTGGTATTGTCAGACTTTGAAAGTTTACTAATATGGTAGGTGTGAAACCATATTTTAATTGTATTTAAAATTTGTTTGTTCCCATTTTCTAGAATACTAGTGAAGTTAAACAGTACTTAGTGCATGTATGGGCTATTCAGTTTTCTTCTTTTGTGAACTATCCATTCCAGTGTTTTGTCTGTTTTCTTTTGACTTGATCAGTGAGCATGAGTGCGTATTCATAATCTAGACGGTAATCCCTTGTCAATTGTCTGGCAAATACCTTCTCCAAATTTGATATGCCTTTTTACACTTTATGATACCTTTATAGTTCTCATTTTAACATCGTTAGTTTCTACTTTTTGTGTCTTGTTAATACACAAAATCTTTCCTCAATATCACGTGAACGCTCTTTTACGTCATCTTTTAAGTTTTATAGTTTTGCTTTTCACACTTGTCTCTAATTCATTTGGAATTGATTTAAACTACTGCGTACGTATATGGGGTAGTGATGCAAATCCGTTAGCTTTATAAAGATAACCACAAGTGGGGATGGCCCGGTGGCCGAGTGGTTAAGTTCGCGCGCTCCGCTGCAGGCGGCCCAGTGTTTCGTTGGTTCGAATCCTGGGCGTGGACATGGCACTGCTCATCAGGCCACGCTGAGGCAGCATCCCACATGCCACAACTAGACGGACCCACAACGAAGAATATACAACTATGTACCGGGGGGCTTTGGGGAGAAAAAGGAAAAAAAAAAAAAAAAAAGATAACCACGAGCACCACTCATTGGGAAATTTCTTTCATGCCGATCTGCAAGGCCAGCTCTCAGGAGAGATCGACTTCCCATATGTGTGCATGTTTGGGTTGTTTGATTATTTCATTTATCCCTGTGCCCACACTACATTTTCAGCAGAGTGTACGTGACTTCTTGCTGTTCAGTGAGCTAGTTTCTCGCCTGTTGTTCTTTAGGATATTCTGGCTATTCTTGGGCCCTTGCTCTCCCGGAACAGAAGAAATGCTGTCTGTTTGCTGAATGCTCCTTCTAAGAGCTAACTGAATTTATAACTAGGCAAGGAAGACAGAAACAAGGCTTAGATATTTTGAGCAGTAAATCTGAGAGTAAATGCTTACTTGAATTTTACTTGGTCATAAAAATAAAGTTCACAAAATTTAGATTTGAGATGAGAATTTATGCTCATAAAAAGTGTTTTCTTCTTTATCATGCAATATCTACAAACCATATTAATGCAGATATGTTAAAATTGGTTGGTTGGTTGGGGTATTTTTAATCACAAATTTAATTAACATTGAACTTGGATGCCTGGCCAATGAAGCCACGTGAGACTATAATTAGATCTCATGAAATAATGGTTTTAAACTATTTTAAGTGCTTGTAATTTTTAGTAATAAGCAGACCCAAGCACAGATACCAACAGGGAAACTCAACGAGGGGTGTGCACTGATAACTGTTTCTGAAGGGAACAGAGGATTTTAATATACACATTCAGCCTGGGAAACTTTGTCTTGTTTATTAAATAAAGCAGAGAAAGCAAGTGAAGAATCAGCACAGTGGGAAATCAGGTCACCAGATAAGGCTCTTTTTGCTCCTGTTTCCTGCTCTGGGCGGCTCTGCAGTCCACCCTGAGAACTTCACTGCTCCTCCCCAGACTGCACACTTCCCATTTCCTGCCCCTCCACCGCCTCCCCTGCTCGAGCTGCCAAACCAAAGCAGTGCAAACAGACACAGTTCATTTGTTGACGAGCACAGAGCTTTCAGTAAGCGACTTCTTCCTGGATTTTACTGTGTGAGAATGACTGAACTTGATCAGCATAGGAAGAGCCGCATGGGTTTGTGATCGTACCATGTCCATCAGGCCCACAGCCATACAGCGCATCAACTCATCCTTGTTTCTTCGCAACTAGATAGCTACAAAAAGAGGGAATAAGTGCAATAGCTATAAATTGTCTTTGGGGACGGCAGAATGGCTTTGAATCAGCATCGACATTTTTGGAGCAGAGCAGAGTGGAGCAGGAGCGGTGTAGGGCCTCCATTTAGGACCATGTCACAACAGGAGGCTCAGAAAGCCCTCGTCTCTGAATTGTCACCACGGGGAAGACGTTGCCCTGTTTTTAGGTGATTAGTCTACAAACAGCAGCAGCCCTTGACAAACTTTATTACAGGTGGTAGAAATAGTTACGAACGACACAGGATAGGAATGAGTTCCAAAGGACCAGAAAAAATTCTGAGTTAAAAAACCAACATTTTGCTGTATTGGGAAACTATCCATGCAGGTACAACATTGGACATTAAAACATTTTATTTATCTGTGTGAGATTTCTCCAGATACCACATAAATTTCTCCAGATAAAGGGTCAAAAACCCAGGTTGGTCTGATCCCACTACTTCACTAACTGAGAACTAATTAAAAGCACCTTAATAAGACTTTCAACATAAAAAAAACAGAAACTGGTATAAAGAATGAAAAAGCTATCATCTGCCACATTGTTGCTTTTTGGCCAAGAGCAAAAGGCCAAGAACTCCAAGTGGCCTTCTGTCCACAAAGTTCATGTCTCTAGGGCGCTGACTAGATGCTGGGAGTCCTTTCATAATACGCTTGTGTATCGAATCACCAAGATGTACGCTTCAAATGTCTTAGTTTTGTCAATTATACCTCGGTAAAGCTGGAAAACAAACAAGTTCATGTCCCTAGGTCCCTGAGTGTTGAAGTTCAAGGTTGTGCAAAAATGAATTTGTACCCAGATTGCTGATTAACTGCATCAGGGCCTCCAGCAGGTCGCTCATCCGCTGATTGGAGAGGAACAGACGGGGAGGGGAGCTTGGGTGGTTTCCTGTCTCCAGGGCTTTCATGTCCACGTGAAATTAAGACACAGCAGAAACCTGCAAGTGCCTCTCTGGAGGCCCTGGCTGGGGTTCTTCTCACGGACCAATGCTGTCTCTGTGAGACCTCTACCAACAGAGCTCCTTGGGATTCACGAAGGGTTTGTGTCTGACATTGCTGAATAGGGAGACGGAAACCTGCTTTCCACTTCTAGCGCTGCCTTGGCACTAATTAACTACAGCTGTGTGATTTTAAACAGCTCACTTGGCCTCTCTGAGCCTCGTCTACAAAACGAGGCAGCTGGAGCGTATGAATCTTTAGAAGAGAGAATGTATGTGAAAGTACTCGGCATGCTGCTTAACACGTAATTGGTATGCAAAAAACATTTGACTCCTCCATATTAAACTATGCTGAGGCTGTAAAACTTCCACGTAGCAATAACTCCTGGATTTCCAAAATAACTTATTATCTTCAATAAAAAAATGTGTTAATTGATCCTAGGTAGAGACCATGAAGCTCAGACTCAGACTTCAGGAAATAATTTATCAGGGGCAATAGGATATACTCAACATAAGGATGATTGCTCTTAAGTTCCAAAAGGACCAAATTCAATGGCAGTTCAGAGGACTAAGAGAAAATCTTTGGCTGTGAGCAAACTTGAAAGTGTTCATGGGATAAAGAACACTCGAGCTCTTTCTAAAATGCTGGAATTGTGACATTTGGAGAGGTGGAGACTGGAAGGTTTGGGGATGAAGACATTCCAGGTTTGGGGAATGCCATGGAGATGGGCGAATTCAAAGCGCGCCTGGGGAATGTGAGCGCGCAGTTTGAGTGGAATGCAGAAGGCTGCTGAGAGGTAAAGATGGAAACATGAGCTGGGAAACAGACCGTGGAAGACCTCTGAGTACCTGACTGGGGACTTTGGCTTTTCTGCTGTAGCAACCAGGAGTCATTAGAGCTGAAACACAGCCGGTGCTGCGCTGGGGCCGACTTGATCTTGAGGCTGCCGGCGGGGGCAGTGGGGCAAACCAGAGGAAGAAATCAGCAGAGAGGCTGGTCTCACTTGTGAGGAGGCCTGGGACTATACAGACTCAGGTTTACCATAGTCTAGACACATCTTAGGGCTTTTTAGCAAATGACTATTTAAGTTGGTGACCTGTTCTTAAGAAGAGGAAAGGGAATATATTATTAAAACTTTTTTTAATGAGAAGGAGCTGTTAAGTTTTGGAGGAAAGCCTGTTATGATCTGGCCTTAGAGTACAAAGAAAAGCTGTGGAGAATGGCATCTGGCTGTTGCATTGTGGCAGGCACAGCACAAAGACCCGAATTCAGGTGACGGTGAGAGCAATGACAAAAGAAAGACACAAGTTTGCATGAGGGAAAAATCAACAGGACTTGGCCTGATTAACTGCAGGAGGTAAGAGAGAAAGTCCAGAACTCAAGTTCTGAGTCTGAATTCTGAATGATGATATGACAGCAGTTAACAATAGGGAGTAAGCTCATAAATCGCTGTTGTGGGTTTTTTCTTTTTTTCTTTTTGAGGAAGATTAGCCCTGAGCTAATTGCTGCCAATCCTCCTCTTTTTGCTGAGGAAGACTGGCCCTGAGCTAACAACCATGCCCATCTTCCTCTACTTTATATGTGGGACGCCTACCCACAGCATGGCTTGCCAAGCGGTGCCATGTCTGCACCTGGGATCTGAACGGGTGAACCCCGGGCCACCAAAGTGGAACGTACGAACTTAACCACTGCGCCACCGGGCCAGCCCGTTGTGTTTTAAAAAATCGAATCATTTTGCTGTTTAACACAAATTCTGCCCAAGTCAACAATGTATTTCTGTTTATAACTACATTTCTAACACTTAAATATTCATTTTTAAGTAGCAGGAAAAATAAGGGGTTCTCAATTTAAGTGGAAGAATCTAAGTGATTAAGTATTTCTATCTGGTGACACTTTGGAATACTAGCTAAGTTGTTCTCATAACACAAGATACAGGCAAAGCATTTCTAAAGCAAAAACTAGAAGTACAAAAGGAAACATTAAATAAAAGATTTTGCTTTTATTTAAAATAAAATGCATTTATACAGTCTTTAAACCATGGGTTATTGGACAATACTTGTAACCCGTCCCTCCCCGCACCCTCTCGGGCTACGTGAGCTATGAGTTGTCTGACTAGCACCAACGTGGGTCGTGACAGCGCAGCAGACTGGAGCACGGCCGGCGCGGGCGGCAGAGTTAAGGGCACTGTGGCAAATCACGACTGTAATGAAGTCATTCTTAATTTAGCAGATATTAAAACTGCACATTAATTATACTTTTAAAAGCATTTAATGCAAAGATGATACGTCTAAGCCATTTGCTAACTGTGAGTAGTTTTTTAAAAAACTGTACAATTTTATAAAATTTGTGTTTGTACATTAGTTACATAAAATGCACACTTCAGAGACCTTTACTTCATACTGTAATGCAAAAGTTGCATATTTTAGGCAGACAGTGAATATGCTGGTGAATACTAAAAAGTGTTCTAATACAATATGGTGTAAAAATAAAAACAAGACAATATACATACATGCTTATTCAAGAACAAAAACCAACCAAGCATAACGGACTAACAGCATTTTCCTTCAAGGTCAAACAGTAACATTATTAAATATCAGGCATCTTTTGCGAGCCTGGATTATGTAAGGAGTGCAGGGGAGGGAATCAAATGGCCACCAGAAGTAGGATATTTTTAAAACACGAGGTCAAATTAAACATACATTAAAACACATGCATTAAACATGATAAATAGACTTCATATAGTTTAAGCCCTGGATAGCTGTAAAGTAGATGGCTTGAGTTTCTCGCAAGTTGGCTAGCTTCAACCGGGGATGTTTGTTCCTGACTTGCCCACTACTTCAGTTTTCAATTCATGGCCTAAGGAATGTGTGACTGTTCGAGTTCATACACTGTATCATGATAGCAGATTAACAGTCGTGTTGTTAGTGCACATATTAACTGGTCTGGTAAGGCAAAAAGAGTTTTCATGATAAAATGAGGAATTTCAAGCTTACTTTATTAAGCAGCATATAACAAACAACAGCTCTGAAAGTTAAATATCAGTATGGCCACAGTTTCACCACGCACTTCTCCTCACACCCAGCCACTGGTAAGTTTGTAGAACATCTCTTCATCCAGACTCTCATTTTGGTCTTTTGCACGCGTTGAGAGAAATATGTAGCCACCGATGAATTCATGAACCACCTTGCAATCTACTTCAGTACAGATGAAGGACAATCGTACTTCGTCTGCAAACTCTACGGTGACCTGGAGCAAAGACAAAGACCTGTCACCCCAGAACTCCAGACGGCTGGGTGCAAGCAAGCTACTGTCCTGTGTAATGTTCATCACAAAATACTCATTGACGCGCAAATACCCTTTTTAAATCCTACCCTAATACTGCCTCAAGCCCAAAAGAATAAAAAAAGCTTGCCAGCACCTCCCCCGCCCCCCCAATACTCCTCCTTAGTTTTCATGCTCCAGAAAGGAAGACTGAAGGCAAGGGGTTTAGGTCATTAAGTTCCCAAATGGTCTCTGGGGATTCAATTAATGAGAATGTCTCTGCAAGTCCCAGGAGAAAACCTATTTCCTGTGTTTAATTTAATATTTGCGTTAGATATTTAACCTTTAGGTATCATGTCTGAGTATTTCAGAAATGTTCTGAAGAGTCTATGAAGTAACAGGAATTGATATAACAAACCCAATATCCTAAAACAAATACTTATTAGTAAAAGATTCTGTTTAGTTTAAATGAGACTCCTGGACTCCAGGCTTGGGGCAGCACGACGCACAGTACGTGTGCCAGGTCTCAGAGCCCCAAGCCTCTGAGTTTGAATCCTGATTCTGTTACTAGGTGTGTGATCAGGGACGATGAGGCCCTCAGGCCTCTAATTCTAGCGTCCTCACCATGCGTTAGCAGCTCACAGGCTGTGGTGAGGGTCAGAGAGAGGGCGCCACGGGAAAACATCTGGTGTCACGCCCGGCAGAGCAGGTGTTCAAGAAACAGCAGCTGCTGCTGTGAGGTGAGGAACTCATCCACTATAGAAAGATAATCTCGAAAAAGAATATTCTAAGCAGGTAATTCTGTTCTACTAAGTTTAATAACTGGGCTAATTAGGAAACAGGCCAAAGTTTAAGTTGGAAACGAATATCCAACCATGTTCTATACTTTAAGAGGTAATTGTACAAATCTTCAGAATTTATAGGACTTTCTATTCTTAATTTGCTCATTTTTAGCAGGACTATATATATATTCAAGTAACATTGTTATAGCTTGCCATTTTTCTTTTTTGGAGGAAGATTAGCCCTGAGCTAACATCTGCAGCCAATCCTCCTCTTTTTGCTGAGGAAGACTGGCCCTGAGCTAACATCCGTGGCCATCTTCCTCTACTAGTGGGACGCCTGCCACAGCGTGGCCTGACAAGCAGTGCATAGGTCTGTGCCTGGGATCCGAACTAGCAAACCCTGGGCTGCAAAAGCAGAACGTGTGCACTTAACTACTGTGCTCCTGGGCTGGCCCTACAGCTTACCATTTTTATTTCCCAGTTAACATTCCACTGTTTCATGTTACTGAAACGCCATGTTTTAATTGCGTCTCCTGTGCCAGCATCCATCCTAATCAGTCTGTTGTACGCAATGCCAATAAGTTCTTCTTTTTTTCCCCCTTGGAACCTATAGCATTCAAAACAGAATAAATACATGTTTAAAAACATGCTGGGGCTGGGGGACATACTGGTCTGTTTTTCGTCAAGATATGTGCTTCTTGAACTCTAAAGAAAGTGCTATTTTTATACGAGTAAAAACAGAATTGCAATCATTTTGAATTTTTAATGTAAAAATTACAAGTATAGAAAATACATCCCAACATTAATTTTAATTTTTTTTTGAGGAAGATTAGCCCTGAGCTAACTACTGCCAATCCCCCTCTTTCTTGCTGAGGAAGCCTGGCCCTGAGCTAACATCCGTGCCCATCTTCCTCTACTTTGTATGTGGGACGCTGCCACAGCATGCCTTGACAAGCAGTGCCATGTCTGCACCCAGGATCCCAACTGGCGAACCCCAGGCCGCTGAAGCGGAACGTGCAAACTTAACCGCCGCTCAAGTGGGCCCGCCCCCATCCCAACACTGTTTAAAGTTTACTGTAAAATAAGTGAATGGGTCTCAGTAGTTGGCCTTAATTATTTAATTTCTAATTACATGAAGCAAATTAAATAAAAAGGCACAGATTAAGGTTTACATACAGGTGCTTACCTTGCAATAAAGTGTGTGATGCCGAATTCTGGTAGCGACTGCCACGCTTGAATAAATCTCATCTTGGCTTCAATTAGACTCATCTGAGCTACGTTCTGATGGGCCTCCAGGATTCTTGCTGTTATCTAAACATGATTAAACATCACCTTACCATTAGACATTATTCCTTCATGGTAGAATCAAAACAAAAAGATAAAAAAGTTGAATTATGTGCCCCATCCCAAAATCATGTACTGCGAGAGCTGGAGTTAGAAAGTATCTAAAGCTACATTTGGGAATTTTAGTAAAATAATGACTTTTCAAAGTAAACCCTGAGACATTTCCTTTTTTTTTTTTTTTGAGGAAGATTAGCCCTGAGCTAACATCTGCTGCCAATCCTCCTCTTTTTGCTGAGGAAGCCTGGCCCTGAGCTAACATCCATGCCCATCTTCCTCTACTTTATATGTGGGATGCCTGCCACAGCATGGCTTGACAAGCGGTGCCACGTCCACACCTGGGATCTGAACGGGTGAACACCAGCCGCTGAAGTGGAATGCGCGAATTTAACCGCTGTGCCACCAGGCCGGCCCCGATACATTTCTTCTCAATTTTAGTTTCCATATATCAAGAAACAAAAACTGCTATTAGGAATACGTAACTGCCACTCTTGAGACATATTCTGAGTCCTCACATACACAATACTGCTGTTATAAAATGCACGTTCCCATCCTCACACACATAACGAGTGCTAAATTTATAGCACCAAGATCAGAACGAGTACCTGGAACACAAATTTCTAGTAGGAACATTTATTAGCAGCTTAGAGTACTTGAAATCACCATATTACTTTAAGAACTTTTTTAAAGGAATCATTAGGAAAGTTATATTTTAATTTAAATTACACTCACTTTGGGATGACTACTCCCACAAGGAGTGGAAGGAAATTAATCCATGAGGGGAGACTGCGGCTAGGGCTTTAAATATTTTTATTTATTTGTTTTCTTTCTCTCTCTTTTTTTTTTTTTGGTTAATATGGAGAACTTACCAAATCTCTTATATAGCCTGGCTGTAGATGGCAATGCGAGGAAAGAAAAAGGAAGCAGAAAGAAAAAAAAAAGGCAATCAGAAAAAATGGCAATGAAGCAAAGAAAAAGTTGCGGTAACCTGCAAACCAAAATTCCAGCCGAAAACCATGCAAAAAATTACTTTAGGTGGAAACCAAGCAAGTAAATGCAGGCATGAAAACGAGGAAGCAGCGATACCTTCTGTTTAGAATACTGAAGAACACTCCACATTATTTTAGACTGTTAAGCGTTACTAAAATTAAGGGTAGAGATTTGCAGGGAGGAAATAAAAAGAACGAATACCCTTCTTCCCCCTGGTCTACTAATTCTTACTGGTTAGGGCAAAGCTCATGATTTTAGTAGCGAAACCAAAGGTAATACTCAGAAGCCTTTAACGCTGACTCGGATGGCATCATATCCTATGATCCATGCACTGCTTTTCAGAAATAAGTTGAAGGCATAAAATAAGTGCACTGACCATCTGTTTATTTACATAAGAAAAGCAAACCCCTCAATTACCATCTGTTTTTTGCATCCTTTTTCCTGGAAGGGAAAATAAAGAGATACTACACTAGGAATGGTGGCTATAAACACAGCAGTCCATTTCACTTTGGATTAACAAGGATAAAACGTAGGACAACTCTTTTCTTTAAAATGTAGAAATCCAATTTGAGAGTCATATTCATGTAAGTTTAATTCATATTTAGTTTGGGGGGAATTAAAGTAGAGTAAATATAACAAAGGTTATATTGACGGACCCAAAGGCAAACCATGTGCTGATGCCCTGGTAGGGAAGAATGACCCCATCGCCTGCACATCTTCCTAGCTGGCTCCTGAATGCCACTGGGCTACGTGGTCTAACAATTACTAAGCACCATGTCCAGGATCAGCTTGGCAGCTGAGACACAGCAACTACTACACTTCTGCCCATCGGCACTTACTGGGCCTCAGGGCAATACAGGGTCTCTACCTTCTGCGAACAACCTTTCAGTCCTGTCAGAGAAAGGAGGATTAAAAACAACGTGCATCTGGTAAGATGCCAAGGTGTGGAAGACAAGGCTAGATGGATCCTTAACCGCACACAAGCCACACACATCCTGCGAGTTAAAGACAAACGTTCATTGTCTGTGTCCTCCAGAGAACTTTCCACTGACAACCTAGTTGAGAGCTCAGGGACTGGAAACATCTAAAGTGAAAACTATCATGTTAAAGGCTTCTAAGAAAACAAGTCAATACCTATCTTTGATAGCTAAACCAACATTTGGCAATCTTCACAATTATGCTTTAAGATTTTTTCCTTGATATCTGATAGTGAAATTATAAGATTGCTAAGATTTGAAATTATTCATTGCTTTTTAAGGCAAAGGAATCCACTTTTTGAAATGAATTTCTTTACAAATAATTTTTATATGAAATACTGAAGAATATAAAATGAACTCAATGCTTCATTTGCTTTCCCTTTTTAACTTACAATCTACATTCCACAAAGCTCCCCAGGGCAGCATTTCCTCCAGTCCTTACTACTCCCACATCATCTGACTGTGGGATAAACAATTTCCGTGTTGCTTACACAACCTCTGAAACCTAAAGACAAATACTTAGTGATTACAACTTCTGAACATTTCTAGCGAAGTGACTTCAGACCCATAAGACAAACATGACATTTAAAGTTAAGAATTAATAAGGCTTCTGGGTATTTCGTTGGGCCTTTTCAGTATGTTTTTAAATTACTCCTATCAATAAAGATAAAAATGAAATTAGACAAACATCAAATATTTATTTTAAAGGTCCTTTTTAGTACCACCCCTCCTCAACTGAAGCTTTTCCCTTTTACGGCGTGATGGTTGGTGTAGAGAATACTGGGGGCAATCCCAAGTGACATTCCCCTGCAAGGAACGTTTTATGTTACCCCAAAGCACCACTTTCTCAAATAGTGATCCTTTTATGATATTAATTTCCAGGAAAGGAATTCTAAAAAGAGTGAACAAAAGCGGTGAATTTCAATGAAAACTGACCAAACTTTGTCACTTTACGCAAATCCTGGTTAGGTTTTGACTGTTAATGCTAAGAAAAGACAAGTAAAGCTTATTTCTGGAGCTGGTGAAGTCCACTTCGACAGCAGCAAGAGTCCTTGTAGATTTGTTGGGAAACGGTGGCTGTGCTTTATATCACACTTACTTAATTATGCAAGGAATAAAACTGCCTTAACTAAGGAAGACAAAGCATTAAGACTACATTCAATTCCCTGAAAGAACATCATGCTAACAGAGCAATTTCCTCAGGTTGTTCAGAATAAATATGTTCCCAGCTATTCCACCTCATTACCTGTCCTATTTTTAACAGGTTTTTATAAATGACCAATTTAAACTGACTGAAGGCTATTTATTTGCTATTTTGTATTCTAACCACCTGAGAGGAAATTAGGGCTACCAACTAAGACCAAAAAGTTTTAAGAGGGGAAACTAAATTTAAAGTGTCTGTACAAAATTATGAAACAAACCAGCAGAAAATGGTAGATGAAAGTAAAATGAACCCAGTACCTGCTTGTTCTTGTACTTTTTCAGATAGCGAGGGGACACCAGACACTCAGGATTGATATCAGCTGTGATCTGCTCCGGTATGAACTGAGGATCTGGGTTTAAGTGCTGCATTTTCAGGAAGGAGAGAATATTCTGCACCTCTGGGTTGTAGGAGCTGTCTGCCATCGTCTTGCCTTTGGAGGCTAACCTGCAGGCTGCCATCCAATGTGCATACTGTTTCTCCTGTTAAAAAAACACAAGAGTACGAAATGTATCAGATGCCGAGTCCTTTGAGTATAAAATCTAAGGATGACTGGTCAACTCACTAAGGAATCAAAGAAAATTGAGGTTTACTTTTAACTGGAAAACTTACATTGTCACAACGAAGCCAGATTTCATTCATGCCGTCTGCAACTGGAATCAGGAGTTTAATGTTAAATTTCTGGCCTGAAATGTTTACATCTGGGGTAACTTCACATCCTGTAATAAGAAAATTAATTATTAACACGGTCAAATTTACTTTTAAGACATCCCAAGCCAATACAGGCAGCCGTCATTTTATGGCATCTCAACATGCTGAATTTCGCTGTTATGGAATCTCTAAGTCGGGAAATCAATTCTTTAGGCTCAGTAATTTTGTTTGGGGTGGAACAAAGAGTCAGAGAGGTCTAATATAGAACAGAGGTAATGACACAGAGTTTGTGGCACTCACAGTTCACAAAACTTGACTGAAAAGAAAAAGACAGGGTTCTGTTAAAAGCATATTACCACAAAACACCACTTGCACTGCATCCCACAAGTTTCATGTGTTATTTTAACATCATTCAGTTCTCTGAATGTTAAGTTACTTGGGATTTTTAAATGTATAGGAAGTTTTAAATATCTTTCTATAATTAAATTCTAACTTAATTGTGTTTTGGTAGGAATAAACGGCTTTTATGATGCCTTAAAAAAGTGTGCGTGGGGTTACCCCGTCTGAGCTAGAGTGCTGTATGAGCCTCTTCAGGGACCCCTGCTCCTGCGTGGAGGGAGGAAGCCTAAGGGCACAGGGGGAGGCACAGGCTCTCCTGCTCCAGCTGGATGCTCCCGGCACACGCCTCCTTCCACAACTCCAGGCTGTTGGAACACTTAAATATTCACACTTACCAACAGTTCAATTCAGAGGGTGACCACTTGCACATTGTTTCTTTAAACTGAATTGCTTCATAAATCTGACTCAACTCATAAATTAACTTTATGCACAATATTTTAGGAGCATACCTGCTATAGAAGGTTACATATATACTTGAGGAAGTCAGTACGAAAATAACTGGTATTCAGAATTTCACTTTACATACAAGTTTTCAGGAATACATACATTTATGGTTACAAAAATCCATCTAAACTAACTCTGTTAAGCATTAGCTGGTGGCTTATAGAAGAGAACACAGATTTACTGAACATACACCCAGTTAGACAATGGGGTAATGGTTGACAGAAGTAGGTAGTAACCAAGAGCTCTGAATCAGACAGATTTGGGTTCCAGACTTTTCTCTATCACTCAATAATTATGGTCAATTTAAGTAACATCTCTAAGCCCAATTTCCTGACCTTAAACCCTACCTCATGGGGACGCTGTAAAGGTAAGTAAGATAATGCACATGTCAAAGCTCCTAAAGGCTATTCCAGTTGTTTGTACTTGGTTTGTCACCCTCAATGTGTCTCAAGACCATCCAGTCGGCTCCAGAGCAGAACTGTAACCGTGAGCAGGGTGTGCTGCTGACTTGTTCTCTGTACCGGAGCAGTCTCTCGGCACAGAGCACAAGGAACAAGATAATAAACCTCTACCACACAAAAAGAAAAATGTTAATTAACACTGCCAATTTTCCCTCCACATAAATGTTTTAAGTATTAAATAAAAGAAACAGAACATTTTAGATGAAGGGGAGATCCTCTCCTCTCCAGAAGCAACTCCTATCACGAATTTGGTGGACAGCCTCCCCTTCTTCGCTTTCCTTTTAAAAATATGTACTACATACAAACAGCTAAAGCATTTAACTCCTTCTATACAAGCATCAGAAGCCACGAGGAAGGTGTTGGCAATGTGTTTAACCTGCAAAGTTAAAACAAAGAGCAGATGTTTGAAGACTGACAATCCTTGGCATAAATTTCATTAACCATTCAAGTGGATTTAAAGTATATAATTCCACGCTAATAAGGCCTCTTTTAAAAGTACAATATCAAGAAAACTAAAAGGGAGAGACAAAATGAGTGGAAACTCAGGTGCTAGTGTAGGCACAGAGGCACTTACTGGACCACATCTCAGACAATATTCACTCCACGCCACCTTGGCTACCTGCTTCCAGTGGTGACATGCTAGACTTCTGTAACCCAATCACTATTCCTCTGAAACGTTAAGAGCAAACAGCCCATTCTTATCACAATCTTTAATCCTAAGTCTCTTCAAACTCTTTGAGGAACTCTATCTTCAACCCCTGAACTTTTTCCCCATCAGCAACACGTTTCACCTCTTCCTTCTCCCCAGTCCAGCCTGGACTCCAACTCCCCAGGTTCACTGTCTTTCCATTATATACATTTAGCAAAACCCTAACGCTAACCCTGGCTCAATCCAACCATCTACTTTTTACTTGCCTATCCTCAGGCTGCTGAGCTCTGTTAAGAGGGCAAGGGGGAAAATTCACAAAGCCAAGCAGACGGGTTTCACTAGGAATTCAGGGATCCACACAGTGGAAGAGGCATCTCTTCTCCTACGGCTCTTCTACCCAAGTGGGCTGAGTTTCCCAGGACCCCAGGAAGCTTGCCTCATCAATGAGTTCCTCTCCCTCTTCCAGACACTAGATTTCTTTCTGTAACTGTGACATTTCTATTAGCATTTAACTTCCTTGAGTCTCCCCCATTTTAAACCACAAAGTACCCCCTCGCCTCCACTTTGTTCCTCTGTCTTCATTACTGCCCTCTTTCCTCCCTCCCTGTTACAGATATGGTTCATTAAAAAGATGTCTTTGTTTCCTATTTATGTCTCATTGACACTACTTTGACTCCCATACTCAAAATGCCACTGAAATCTGCAGAATTTGTTCTTTTTAAATTTTCTTAATTTTTACTTTTTCTTCTTCCTCTTCTCCCCAAAGCCGCCCAGTATATAGTTGTATATTCTAGTTGTAGGTTCTTCTGGTTGTGCTCTGTGGGACGCCACATCAGCATGGCTTGCTGAGTGGTGCCATGTCTGTGCCCAGGATCTGAACCAGAGAAACCCCGGCCACCGAAGCAGTGTGTGTGAACTTAGCCACTCAGCCACGGGGCCAGCCCCTGAAGAATCTGTTCTTAATCAAGGCCACTAACCACCTCCAGGTGGCTAAATCCTATGGGGGCTTAACGATCTCTATCTTACTTTTCTGTAGCGTTTGACACTAACTACTCTGTCCTTTCCGAAACAACTTTGACCTTAGCTTCTATCATATCTTATTTGCATGGTCTTCCTATGCATTTTTTGGTTGCTTCCTTTGCAAACTCCTCTTCCTCTAATCTGCCCTCTCTCTTGAACATGGGTATTCTGCAGGATTCTGTTCTTAACCTTCTTATGTTATAGACAACCATTCCAACGGCTACACTTACCATTAATGCTAACTGCTACCATATCAGTATCTGTAGCACGAATCTCTCTGGTGGTTCAACGGCCTATCTCCAAATAGATATCCCACAGGTACCTCAAATTTAAAATACCCCAAAATTAAACTGCCTTTCTCCCCAAACTCAGCTTTTCTATATTCCCAACCTCCAGATCACCCAATCCACCCAGCTACACAAGCCAGAAACAAGTCCCTCCCGTTTAGCCTCTCCCAAAACAATCTCCGTTGACTGAACTCCCTCAGCATTGACTGAATTTGTGCCCTATTCTCCATCCATATTGATAACCTTAATTCGGATCACTACGCTGCTATAAAATTACTCCTTTATATTATAGCCAATATAAATATGATGGATCCTGTCATTTTCATGTCAAGAATGTTTCAGTGACACGCCACTGCTGCCAGTTTAAAAAAACAATCTCCTTAACATTTTATTCTCTAATTCCTGCCAATTTCTTCTGCTCTTTTCTCTCATGTTAGGAGGAATCAGATTCAACAGCTATTAAGGAAGTACTCATCCTCTCCCCTTAAACTCCACCTTCCAGAACAAGCCTCCTGTGGCTGAGACTGCTCTCCAGGTATTCCTGCACACCAGTCTCTGCCTGGAGGGCCCTTTTACCAACTCTCCTCTTTCCTTTCGCAGATCTCAATTTTTCTCTTTCGGATCTTAACTCTGACATTATTTCCCCATGAAGTCTCTCTTCATTCTCCCCACTGTCACTGGATAGAGCACCCTTAACCCTGCTCCTGTGACCTGTTTCTTACTTTTTTAGACTACTATTTATTGCCCAAATTCTAACTGTTTATCTCCCCCCACCCTGCCACATGCTCTAAACATCTTGAGAGATGGGAACTGTAATTTATTCTTATTTATCTCTCTAGCAGGTAGCACAGTTTGCAGCATACGAGTTCAATTAGTATTGGCTAAGCTGAATTTTTTAGAATTTTACATTTTAGATCTCCAAGGGGCCTTAGAGAGCACCTAGGCTAATACTCTCAGTTCTCAAGGGAAGACACTGAGGTTCAGATGGGCTATTTTGCCAAAATCATAGGGCATGTTTAGTGGCAGAGCAAAAGCTACGCCATTTGAGTCTCACGCTAGTGTCAGTGTGATGTGCTGGAAAAAGTGCTCCTTTGGGAGGACCTGAGAAAGGTGGGATGAGGCCACCTTGGAAGCTATTATCCATACGAGAACTTGACTTCTCAGCTACACAGGGAGAAGGTTAAGGATGTAATAAAGACAGGTAAGACAGGGGCCAGAGGACAGATCTAGTCTCTAAATCAAGAGTTGATAACCTAGCTGGTCCTGGGCAGTTTAGGAGCTAATCAAGAAGAAAGCTGCGATGGATTCTGAAAGTACAAATAATGATAGAGACCCAAAAGTTAAACTCATGAGACTTAGAGAGAAAGGCAATAAGCTTAATTAAAAGTTCTAAGGAAATTACAGAATTCCAACACGTGGGCACAGCAATCTTCTACTCAGGACAGAGGTTTTCTATTGTTTACAGTGCATATAACTACAAAGCCACCGTTTAGATGGCTACTGGGCAGAACAGAGATATGGTAGAGATTTGGACACTTTGTTGAAATATACTAAAAATATCCTAATGTAAATGTACTAAGACGACTTCAGAATATAGATCAGGAAAAGCACCTCTGTATTTCAAGTGATCTTACTTTGGGAAACATTTTTGTGAAATGACTCAGAGGCTGTTTTTGGGTACTTCTGTCCAAATATGAACATTTTTAGTTAGAACGGCGTATTGCTTTATGTATAATAATAAACATGCATGCAAGATGTAACCCAAAGGATAGATGGGCTCAGCTGATAGCAATAACTCCCTGAGTGTTACCCCAGCAGTGGCCTTCCCAGGGAGGTGCAGGCTTCGCTACAATCAAGAGTCTGGGAAACCAGGAGGCTGCTGCCACAGCTGCAGCTCCAGAGCCCAGAAGTGCCTCACTCCTTTCTCAATTCTGCCTCTCCAAACCCTTCACTCAGTTGGGTATACAAGTCTCCTATGAATGCATCTGACTGGAATCTAAATCTCCCTGGAAATGAGTCTGGAAAATGCATTCTGGTTTTCTAGCCTTTGCTGAAAGGTAAGGCACATCAAAAGGAGTGTGGAACAGCGAGGAGCCAATCTACTGCAGCCTCCACCAAGCGCGCCGGGTGGAGTGAGTGCTGTGAGTTCGTGGGAATGGTTCTCAGGGGTACGGCTTCCTAGACAAACTGATAACTAGACTAAAGTCAGCCAGGTGGTTTCAGTGAATAATGTCACCACAAGTGAGAAGTGCATCGGCAATCTACAAGACCAGCTAACTGCCCCACAGAGAAATCGTGGCAAGCAGCAGTAGGATGCCTTCAGCTGCAGAAGAACCAGACCAACCTGGAGAGGAAATTCTTCTACCACCTGAACAGTATACCAATCAGGTGGAAGAGATGAAGGAGTAGTGTGAAGAACCAAAAGAAGTCACCAAAACGGGAAATGAAGCTGTAGTCCAAAGAACTGAATGGGAAAAAAAGACCAAAGCCAGGAGCTCTGAGCCCTGAGCCAGGCTCAGCCCCGGCCACAGGAAGCAAGCCAGCCACAGCTGCCACAAGACAGCGGAAACCTGTCCAGCAGTACGTGTCTCAAACACCAGACCCTAGTTCCGAGACAGCTTTGGATTTGAAGAGACGAGAGAAAACCAATGAGATTCAGGTTGTCAGCTAGGAAGGGCCTCAGAGGAGGATCTTGGGGCTGCCCCAGGAACCAGCAGAGAGGAAGAGTGTTGAAAACGACAAAAATGCGCAGGGAAGAAGGGCTGGGGAAGAAGAACATGGCCAAACCCCAGAGGTGCCAGCTACCCTACTGGTGAGCCAGGAAAATCAAGAGACTGGGGACCCTGAGGGGGACCAGCTTGTCACCAGTGAAGGTCAGGAAGAGGAGTGGGTGTTGATGAGGAAGGGAGAAATCAGGAAAAACTGGGAGGAGATGACTACAGCACAGATGGGACTGAGGTAGAATCTGAAAGAGACAAGCAGGCAGCTTGCTCCTGCAGACTGAGGAAAACCCACACATCCTAATGCTGAAGGATTAGGAGAAAAGAGACATCACAAATTTACTTGACAAGTGAGAAAAGCAGCATCACACACTTTAAGTGAGGACCATGTTAAGAGATTACAACAAAATATTCGTGTGAAATTGATTATAGTCATGCATCGCTTAATGACAGGGACACATTCAGAGAAATGCATCTGTAGGTGATTTTGTCCTTGTGTGAACGTCACAGAGTGCACTTACACAAACCTAGATGGTGTAGCCTACTATACACCTAGGCTACATGGTACTAATCTTATGGGATGACTGCCATATATGTGGTCTGCTGTTGACTGAAACGTTGTTTTGTGGCACGTGACAGTACTTAAAACTGTGACAAGAACTAAGTTGAAAAAATAATATCTAAACATAAGAAAGAACCTAAAGGAGTACAGAAACTGCTGAAAACCTTTCTCCCCCAGCAAAGTGAAGTTCATTGAATATTACTTAGTAGACATTCCACTATTGACACTGGTGCTCCAAGGCATTTCTTACCTCTTAGGTTCATCTGATGAGCTGGTGTGCCACTGGATTCTTCTTTGCTCTTATAGCAAGAAATAGATGTATCTTTGAAGGTGCACCAATATTGCTTGTAACCTTTGAGAGTCAGCTTTTTTGGCCTATGTGTCAAATAGAATTGAAAGAAAAACCAAGTTTGATGTAACTTTATCAATGCTATGTTTAGCAGTAAAGTGTCACAATATTAAAAGCCTGAGGCCAAGTTTTACATCTGCTGAGTTCAGTTCCCTTTGGCCAGTGTGTTCAATTCAATGCTGCTGTTACTGGATTTGCCCCTTCCTTCTCAATCAATCTACTCAGGAAGATCTCACAAACAGTTGAGTGGGCAAAGGAGAAAGACAGCAGGGCCAACAGTCAGTCTTTCTGTCCACCGCAGCCATCGCTACTACTAGCAGGCCACATGGAAAGGACAGGAAAATAAAGGTGAAGTAACTATCAATAACCGCAAGGTTCCTAGTCTCCCAACGACCTGCAGGTTCATGGATGTCTGCAGGGCTGCCTTCGGTTGGTGCCTCTCTGAACAAGCAAGTGCAGATGGCATGCAGAGTGGGGGAGGTGCTTCTCTCTCAGGGATGTGTTTCAGTGGTGACTTAACTTGCCATTTCAAAGTCAAACACAAAGAAGACACGGCAGTCCTGAGAGACTGGATAAGGAAGGGGAGACGTAGATGAAAAAGGTGTGTAAAGGGAGAAGAGAGAAGGTAGGTAGGAAGTGGCATCTGAAATAGTGCCCTTATCTCAAAAATGTTACATGTTGAGCTGTTCTATGTTTAGAATAGAATAGAATAGAACTCAATAGAATCTGGGGCTCTGAACAAGGAAATCGCCACTGGCATTAACAGTTCACTATCCACTGCTTTCACCCAGCGGGGATGCTTTATACAGATAGGCTGCTTCACGTCTCAGAAACTTCAACAGTGCAATCTAGGTTACAGTCTGTTTTTTTCTCTTAAACTATTTATCAGATAAAACAATTTAACGAGTACTGTGATTTTAATTTGGTAAAGATGGTTATTTTCCCTCATTAAAATTTAGTGTTCACCTAATTCGTAAATGCCTTTACAGATGCATATGCCAAATTTACAGTAAATTCCAATAATGTGAACATGACTATAAACCTAGCACTTATTATTCATTAATATTTGGAATCCCTCCCCTTTTTATACTTACTTGAAAACTTTAATATAGTCAGCAAGTTCAGGAATGGAAGTGATGTCACCCTAGGGAAAGAATTAAATCATTTTTTTTCTTATTTTTCTTGAAATGTGAAACTCTGGTATCTGATATGAAGAACAGCTTACTTAATAAAGAAAATTATATAAAATAGATTATAAAGATTTTAAAAGTACCATCATATTATATTATATGGTCATTATATGGCACACAGGCATTTTCAAATGGTATAAAAATCTGATCAACATGGCAATTTATACAACCCACAAGAATATACGGTTGATTCTAAAATCTAGAACTGTTGGTAGCTGCATATGGAAATTTTGTAAATCGTAACAGCCCTCAGATAAGTGACTCTTCTGTAATAACTAAGTCCCAAGCTTTAAAACTAAACTTAGGGGCTGGCCCCGTGGCCGAGTGGTTAAGTTCGCGAGCTCCACTGCAGGTGGCCCAGTGTTTCGTTGGTTCGAATCCTGGGCACGGACATGGCACTGCTCATCAAACCACGCTGAGGCAGCGTCCCACATGCCACAACTAGAAGGACCCACAACAAAGAATATACAACTATGTACCAGGGGGCTTTGGGGAGAAACAGGAAAAAAATTTAAAAAAATCTTAAAAAAAAAAAACAAAACAAAAAAACTAAACTTAGCATTTAAAATTTTTCCTGAGATCTATTTTTCTCTTCTTTTTGTAACATTGCAGATTTGGAGATCACTAAATGGATTTTACCGTGACTCAAGATTAACTTTTCCTCTGCAGAAATGCTCTCCCACCACTTGTCAGAGAAGGCGCAGAGTATCAGAAGATCGTCTTTACGTGTTAGAAGCACTAGAGACTACAACAATACTAATTTTAAAACTTTCCCTGAAAGTTTCTGAAAAATCAGTGTCTGAATTCTCTAAAGTATTAAATATTTCTCTACATCCCCCAAAGACTTCATGAGAACCTAAACTGACAAACAGGTGAGAATCAATTCAAACTAAGTTAAGTAGGTAAAAAGAGTTACCCTACCAAAATTGTTGATGTTTTACCCCCTTCCAAAGTAATCTCCAGGTCTGAAAGAGCAGCATCGACTTCATCAACTTCTTTGTCACTGTTGTTCAAATGATTCTCTGATGTCATGATTGACAGCTTATTGATATGATACTGAAACCAGAAATATTTTATTTAAACGATTGTTCTAACTGTAAAACTTCAAAATTAGACTATGATCTGCATCTATGTTGAATGTTTTTCATCACCTAATTTGAAAAGATAAAAGTTTCCAGGTAGGAAAATGAAAGACACGTCATCTGAAATCAATGTCTTAATAAATATTAATCCAAAAAAAAGTAGGGTCTTTGGACATATACAAATGAATTCGTAGCCTGGGAGGCCCTAGGACGGAGAGATGAGTTAATGAGCAGAGATTTTTTACTTTTTTCACTCACCGCAGTACTCCTTGTGTCTACAAGGGGGCCTGGAACCAATGAATATTGAAGAAGTGAAAAGAATACGCATAAGGTCTTTTATAGAAATGGACTAACACTGATTCCCTTCCATTACTACTAGACCAGCAAGAAGGGAGAAGCAGTCATCATTACCACGTGGAGAGCTAAAGCTCTACTTCCCCAGACCCCTTCAACGAACGCTAAGACACAAGCAGAGGGAGGCGATGTTTATGTTCTCAGTTACAGGAAAGTGACACGACAGGTTATGTTCATATCTGAGTACACACACGAAGACTCACGGTGTGTGTGTGTGTGTGTATGTGTGTGTGTATGAGTAGTGATAACTACTCTATGTAGTGCTACATGTAGATAACTACCCTATACGCAGATAGAGAAGTCCCTAAGAATAACTAGCCAATTTTAAATACACCTAGGGTAAGTGACTTTGAACAAATATTAATATTTATTATTTTGATGCTAAACCTTAGAGAGGTTTTATACAAAGGTAAGCAAAACTTTTAAATCATTTAATCAGTTACCTTTCAAAGCACTAAGTAGCACTCCAAACTTCTGAAGTATTCATTCACTGAACACAATCTATTCATGAGGGCAATTATCAATGTCCTTCTGTAAGATTTAGTGAACTAGTAATGAATAGTCTCTGGCTATACCTAAAGTTGTACTGAAATGAGATCCTTAAAGTGGTAGACACTTCCAGGTTTACAAATCATAGGGAATGAGGTGGGTTGAGTCCCTCAGGCAGCGGCCTCAAATGTCAGAGTATATTAAGAATCACATGGGGGGCCGGGCCGGTGGCACAGCAGTGAAGCTGGTACGTTCCACTTCTCAGCGGCCCGGGATTTGCCAGTTTGGATCCCAGGTGTGGACATGGGACTGCTTGGCATGCCATGCTGTGGTAGGCATCCCACATATAAAGTAGAGGAAGATGGGCATGGATGTTAGCTCAGGGCCAGGCTTCCTCAGCAAAAAAAGGAGGACTGGCAGTAGTTAGCTCAGGGCTAATCTTCCTCAAAAAAAAAAATTAATAAATAAAAAATGTGGAGAGTTGGTTAAAAATACACATTCTTAGGTTCACCCCCAGAGATTTTCATTCAGCAAATCTGGAGTCAAGCCTGGGATCTGCATTTTTACTAAGTGCCTTCGGTAATTCTGATGTAAAAGGTCCTTTTAAGTTACACAGGAGAAACCCTGGCTGTGAATAAGACTGGTCCTAAACTCCAGCTCTGCTTTCCAAGGTACACGGGATATCTGTTAACTGTTACAATATGTACTTGGACCTAAATGCTTTAAAAAGAAACAGTGTTCCTAACTTACCTACAACATTTTTTATCCACAGCTTCTTTCTTTGAATTGTTATTATTTATTTATTTTACTAACTGTAGATTTATTTTACACAAGTAACCAGAAATCCCATGAAGAATAGTTCAGAGTACAGGCTATGTCTGAAACAAAAAATAGTAGGCATCTCTTTCAAAATACCCCCCCACCCCTTCATGTCAGTCTCTGGGAAGGCTCCTAACAATTCAGGTGATCTGCAGTTCAAAATTCTGTCATTAAATCTAGATCCTAAAATGCTCCAGGAGAGCTACGCTCTAGGACATTCAGTCTCCACAAATTAAAATCTATGGTTTCTGAGGTGTTTTCTACTGCAGTGAAATGGAGTATCTTCTGTACATTGGGAGAGAGTGGGGGTGGGGGAAAGCTGCAGAATAATCCCATTTCTCTGAAAATATGACTCACTCAAATATTTTTTGAGCACCTACTAGGTGCCAGGCACTGTATGTATTTGTTGAATTAAAAACAAAATTAGGAATTATTTTTGTAATAAAAAGAAATGCTATACAATAAGATCCATGAGTTTTTCCCATATATGTTTTATTATTCTATCTCGGCAAAACCTTCAATGGAAAATTACGAGCCTGTATTCTAAGTGAGAAAGATGCAGGTAGAAAGCCATAACCAAGCGTGTGACTTTCAATAATAGTGCTCCAGAATTTAATTTGAGAAATTCCTCAGATAGTCTGAATCATCCAGAAACACAAGAGAACATTCCTAACTGGTTGATTAAGCAAGTCTCTAGAAAATGACTGATTAAACGAATTCATCCGCCATCCAAGATTTTCCTCGTCTGAGCTTCATTTCAATTCCCTTCTTTCATCATGTAAACTAAGGAGAAATCAGCTGTACTTCCTCTTAAGGACAACTTTCTGAGTCCTAACTGGAGAACTTTTCTGGGTGCATAAAAGCATTTGAAAGACTGAGAGCATTTTTGTGTTCTAAGGAAAAAATGAAATCATTTTTATAGCGAAAGCTTTTCATAACTGAATAGCAACTTTGCTTCTTGTATTTTTGTTACTTAAAGAACATCAACTTTATCAGTACTTTAGGCAGACCGGAATTCCACCACAATCTGAGAACACTTACCAAAGACTCGCTCAGATGTCTGAAATGTAAGGAAGATTAATCTAGTGGTCATTAGCCCTCAGGGTCTCTAAGAATGCTGATGTGTGGATGCCACCCTAAAATTATTTTCCCAGAGGGGCAGCAGTAATGAAGTAGACACTTTTGCAAGGCCTGCTGTGTAACTGTGAAGCAGGTGGTGTGCCAGAACCACATTTGGAAAAACACTAGCTTGATCTAAGGAAAAGGTTACCTACCCACTTCTTAAGGATTATCGTTCTAAAAACTAATTTATGTTTAGTTTCACTAGTCTCTTAAAATTTTATCATCTTTAAAGGGGTTATTTCTGCCACGGTCCATTTCACAAATATTACCATCCCCAGCTACTTATGAAATTATATGCCAGCAAGATTCATTTCAGAAATCTGATCTTTAACATAGATTTCATTTCCAAGGGAAAATTGGGCATTTTTAAGCTAATATACATCTAGGGGTGGGAGGATACTTTTTCTCCTACAGGATACAGAAAAATAACTATTAAGTATCCCATATACTACATTCTTACATAAGACAAAAATTAAACTAAATTGATGTGTTTATTTTGCTTTCCTAAGTGTCTACTCATTTTCTACATAGCGAAAAGCAAAAGTTGTTTATCAAAATGCTATTAGGATTACTATGCCACTTTACTAGTTAAAAATAATTTCCTTACCCTTTCCCCCCAAAAGTGCTATTTACCAATACTCTCCACTACCTGCAAGGCTGCAAACATCATCATTTCTTCTTCCGTGCATTCAATTTCTTCTAGGAGAATCGCCCATTTGGCCTGCTCATAAAGCTGATTGATTCTGATTGCATCATACTGCAGCAAAAGAGACAACTCTTTTGTAATATATCACCTTTAACATCAAAAAGTTTGAAAACTCTTAATATTCACTTTTAAAGCCTGACAAGAAAAACTTAATATACAAATTTTTTTCTGGGATTTTTATTCCCTATCGAATACTCAAGAAGAAAGATGTCTATCTGGTTAGGTATACCTATATATACCCACATCTAATTTTCCATTAAAAATGACATTAAAATATACCAAAGATTATTATTCAGTATTAGAAACAGATTCTGTATGTTATTTTTGAGGGAAATAACCATTAAATGTTATAACCCTCAACAAACAGAGTCTAACTTGAAGACATTAAAGTAAAGCAGATGGGGGCCAGCCCCGTCGCAGAGTGGTTAAGTTCATGCGCTCTGCTTCAGTGGCCCAGGGTTTTGCCGGTTCAAATCCTAGGCGTGGACATCAGGCCATGCTGAGGTGGCGTCCCACATGCCACAACTAGAGGGACCCACAACTAAAAATACACAACTATGTACTGGGGGGTATTTGGGAGAAAAAGGAAAATAAAATCTTTAAAAAAAAAAAGGTAAGGTAGAACTGATTGCTTTTCAGTATTGTTATTTCAACCTGTCACACCAAAATGTCATAACCAGAGTAAATTATTTATTTGGGGGAACATCTTACTCATTGTGGAAAAGCATACACAGACGAAGTGGCAGGTCCTTGGAAACAGTAGTTATTTTAAAAATTCAAAATATAGGGTACATGTATATTACTTGTGAAATAGATTTACTTATATTATTGAATTATCCATTTAGTTATGTTAATAAAAATCAACAGTGACGTCTTAAGGTCTTAACAACACTATCATAGAATGTTAAAAATAAATAACCCCCTCCCCAAATGTAATTATGTTCCCAAATAATTACTTTGGTAATTTCACTAAAATTAGATAGGATATGGCCTGAAAAGGGATTAAAATGGTTTCTTTAATAGTCCTATTATATACATTTTACTGTTGTATAAAGAATTAAGCACATAATAAAAAAATGGTAAATATGCATATTAAAATCTAGACATGAAAAGGATAGAAGGTAGTCAAGAGAGGTTTGTTCCCCCTCCGAAGATGATAGGGAAGCAAAAGATTCAAATCTCTGTACCATGTGTTTCCTGGGGGGAAATACTCCAGATTTTTATAGCAAATTTAAACCTTATCAGAAAAGCAAAGTACTTTAGCAGCATAAATGATGCCAATCATTTGATAGTAAAAACATATTACAGTGATGGTTACTAAACAGCAAGAAATGTAGGCGCAAAAAAAGCTTTTTTGAAGCAACATCTTTTGGTATACAATTAGAAATCTGAAAGTAAGTGAAAAGGTAATCTGGCAGCAAACTTTTCTTTCACCTAAAGTACAAGTGAAGAGAGGCGTAAAAAAAAAAACAACAAACCCCAGAACTAATGTTACCAATTCTGCGATACCAAACTAGTGCCTTTAAAATACAAATCAATCAAAAATTCAATTACCTTAACAAAAAAGAGAAAGATTCAGTTATGTTTCCAACTTACTAAACAATAAACTTATTTAAAATACAGATGCTTTTGCTTAAAGCTTTGGGTTTTTAATATTACTCAAGACTTGCTATACACAAATAATTCCTTGCTCCACCAACTTTCAAGAAACCAACATCCACATGAACAAACAAACCAAACGGAACAAAAGAAGAGATCCCTCTAAACCCTAGGTACCTTTGGATTCAAATCAAAAAAGCTGTAATACTTGAACCGGAGCAGCAAGGCCTCATTTTCCTTCACATCTTGTTCCATGAGAGATCTTGAGGAATCAAGCCATCTAGACAAATTAACAAGAGCAGTGGAACAGACCAAGACAGAATTAATGAAATATTTCTAACTCTAATCAGATAAAGAAATTCTTCAATTGTATCTATATTTTAAAACCTACCCTTGGTTGATTTTCGCTTTGTCAAGAAGAGCTTGAGGCTTGAACATTTTTGCCAAGATTTCTGGTGATGTGATTGGCTGACTGACAGCAAGGATACCAGGATTGCCTTCTGACAAAGCACTGTCACCAAACCAAGCTGAAGTCGGTGACAAGGGGCTTCCATCATGGGCATCGTAAGTGGGGGTCATTGTTTTACTATAAAGTCCTGGGCTTGAATATATACTTCCTAATAAATAACACGAAAAATAGGTAGTAAGTATGAAGCGCAGATCTTACTTTCGAAGAATACATGCTAAAATGACATAAAGCACATTGTGAAACACAAGCTTCATTCTGGAAGGAAAGCTTAGTATATTATTTCACCTGTCTTGAAAATATGTGAAATGAACTTTACTTGTATAACATTAAGAACGTGTAAACAAGATCAAAAGAATTAAGTTGGTGAAAATTCTGGGAAAAAATCAGTTCAAGAGAATTAGAAGATAAGTTAAGGATATAGCTGAAGCAGACAGACCAACTTTCTGTTTTTAATTGTGGCAAGGCTCACCTTTCAGAGGGCCAATGTAAAGAACATCGGTGCCTACAGGAAAGGAAAGAAAGGAATTCAGAAGGTAAAGGAAAGGCAACAACAGAAGACAGAAACAAAAGAACGAAAAGGAAATGAGAAAAAGAAAAGCAGATTTTTCCTAATTGTGAACCATAAACTGAAATAAATATTTCAAGTGGATTTAAAAGTGAAGAACCTTAGAAGCTATAACATAAGTAAAGTAAGTTTTGTGTCCAATTCAAAAGAAGGAAGCTGTGCTCCAGTGAAGTGTCTAGTGAGACAATCATGTCCACACCATCACTCTCTGAAACCCACGCCCTGTTTTAAGGCAGCTCAATGTAAAGGAATACATTCACTTGAATTAAGAGAGCAATTTTATGTTAATGCTTTCTCAGTGCATAGCTACACTGGTCCCAGCAGATTTATAAATAAAGCATTAAAGTAAAGAGGCATGGGGGCCGCCCTGTGGCCGCGTGGTTGGCTTTGCCCGCTCCACTTCAGCTGCCCAGGCTTTCGCCGGTTCGGATCCCGGGCGCTGACATGGCACCGCTCATCAGGCCATGATGAGGTGGCGTCCCACACAGCACAACCAGAAGGACCCACAACTGACAACACACAATTAGGTACCGGGAGGCTTTGGGGAGAAAAAGGAAAAATAAAATCTTTAAAGCAAAGGGGCAATACAATTTTGCCCTAGAAAGAGTCTAACAAAGGTACACGTTATAATTAAACCCCCTGAAGGCAGGGATATTGTCCTTTTAATCTTCTGATTGCTGGGTTAATTATTAAAGGGCTAGACATAGAGAGGCTACACAAATAAAAATTTGTTGACTTAGTCAACTGATGATATAGCTTTCATTATTTAAACTCTAAAAATTAAGGAGACTAAATTAAGACTTTTTGGGGAAAAAAAAGGTTCGGAATTATATTAAGTACAAAGCACCACCCTCTAAAGTCCTAACTCTGTTAACCATATTTTGTCTTTCAGTCATAATTTTTTTTATTTTTGAGGAAGATTAGCCCTGAGCTAACATCTGCTGCCAATCCTCCTCTTTTTGCTGAGGAAGACTGGCCCTGAGCTAACATCCGTGCCCATCTTCTTCCACTTTATATGTGGGACGCCTGCCACAGCATGGCTTGCCATGCAGTGCCATGTCCACACCCAGGATCTGAACCGGCGAACCCTGGGCCACCGAAGTGGAATGTGCGAAGCCAACTGCTGTGCCACCAGGCTGGCCCCGCAGTCATAATTTTTAAAAAGAAAATATGTAAGTGGGTATCACAACATTATCGGATGATGGAAAGAGAATGGCTGCTTCCCTTACCCTATTTAGGAATATGCTTAGGAATCTCTCTCCTTTCCTCTCTAAACCCCCTGCCCTCGGGCAAGGATAGAAACAAAACCTATGAGAAAGTGGTAGTAAAGAGAGAGATTTCTGTAGTCATCATGACCTACTTCAGGAAGAGGACACAAAGTAAAAGAAAATAAAAACAAAAACAAAACTCTTACTAGCCACAGGGTATCTGATTTGATGTCCCCAAAATGTGTTCTTCCAACGTGAGTACTAAAACACCTCATAGAATCAACATTGTTGAACTTGAATAAGCAACAAAAAAAGCTGTGAACTCTCCTTTTTTTAGCCTTTAAAGAGGAACATTAGGACATTTAGTGGTAGCTTTAAAAGCTAGAACCTTAACCTGTGAGGGCATTTTGTGAAAGAGTCATTTGGTCACCCACACTTATTAAAATAGCTGAAAACACTGCTCCAGCTCAGCTGGGCAAAGACTAATTCTGCTATACAGAATATACATGCAAATAAGGTGTGGAAAACATTATCTTCTAGGCAGAATCTCCTGTTTATTTCAAAGATCTAGTGAATAAATCTTTAAGAACATCAGAACACTGAAACATCATTCCTAGTATGATGATCTATATAATAACTACTCAGAACGGAGTAAAGTTAGAATTGACAATTTCCTTTATGAAGTTTCTAAAACAGAAAATATATCGCCCTCAATCACACAACATTTAATAGATTCAGCCACCCAATCCATTCTCTGCCCTCTCAACTTCCTGTACTTCATGTTTTCTACACTTCATATCTGATCACTGCATTGTCCCTACTTGTTAGGCACTCCGCGGCAATAACTCACTTAGTGTTCCCAACAACCCTATTACCCTTATCTTAGAGGAGCGAACTGAGGCGCAGCAAGGTTAAAGAACTTGCACAATGTCAAGAGCTCAACAGCTGCAGAGCCAATGATGAATGAGCCAGTCTGCCGCGCTATACCACTGCCTCCCGGCTTTGTGACTTATCTAAGTTGGTGTGCGTTTGTTTAGAGTTTTGTTACTGATGTCACCACCACTGCTACTGCAAACAATGCCTTCCAATAAACATCTTGTACTTATTTCCCAATTCTAGCACCACTGCTGAGTCAGAGGGTATACACAGAAAAGTTGCTGACAAGTTGTACCACAACTGCTTACAATATTGTCATACACAGCGATCAAGAAATGGCTTCTTCTTGGGGCTGGCCCCATGGCCTAGTGGTTAAGTTTGGCAAGCTCTGCTTCTGTGGCCTGGGTTCAGTTCCTGGGCATGGACCTACACCACTGGTTGGCAGCCATGCTGTGGCAGTGACCCACTTACAAAACAGACAAACACTGGCACAGGTGTTAGCTCAGGGCAAATCTTCCTTAGCAAAAAAAGAAAAAAAAAAAAGGAGGGAAAGAAAGAAAGAAAAAAGAAAGAAATGGCTTCTTCTTGACAGAGTAGCAAGAGAAAAAGCTGAAGTGTAGGTTTCACCTTCAGTTTACTACATTTTCTGTACTATTTGATTTTTTATAGACTATATTAACGTGTGACTTCTGTAATTAAAACAAGATATGAGGTCCATTAGTATCTATCACCAATTGAAAAAAAACAAATTACAAATGTGTGTATAACACAGTCCCACTTTCATTAAAAACAAAGATGAATACATAAATCTCTAATATTTGAATTTTTCCTATGAGCATACATTAATTTTATAATTAAAGAATAGTTAAAAAAAATTTTTTGATGCTTAAAATAGCACGTTACAGTTACAAAAAATGGCATCCTGCATAAGCAACTTTCCTGTGCCAAGCAAGTAAAACAAGAATTTGCTATTTCTACTTACATTATAGATCCTGAAATTAGTAATTTTTAAGTCAGTACTATACTGTAGAATAATTCTTACTGGGAAAAATTACTTTCCCCAGACAGGATCAGGCTAGAGTTCAACTGGTTTCCTCCTTATAGGTAATTAAAGATTAGATATTTAACCTAGTTACAGCTAGGAAGTGGCAAAGCACTCAACAGCAGATCAGCTGAGCACAGCTGTGTAAGCAAGGTATTTAAGAACTCATAGAATTCTATGATAATGTTAAGAATTTGACTAAAGTCTGAGAATCATTAATTCGCTCATGATCCTCTACCTCTTGAAACATTACTTTTAAAAAAACCAAACTTCGTTGAGGTATAATTTATAGACTAACATTTTAATCAAATGTTCCTATTATAATTCACAAAAGATTTACTCTAAATATTCTAACTAGAGATGATACTACGTAATGGTTAGAAACATGAACGCTGGAGTCAGACAGACCTGGATTTGAATTCTAATTCTGCCCCTAATGGCTTGGTGATCTTCAACAAATTACTTTACTTACAAGCAAAATAGAGATAATGCCACCAAAATCACAGGGGTTCTGTGAGGATCAAATGAAAGATAATTTACGTATTAAATAGTTATCACTAATTGAATACATGTAATTATTGGCCTTGCTCACACTGAGATGCTCACAATTCAAGAAGCTTGTAGAAACTAAGGAAAACTGAGCCTGTTTCCTCTTCAGTAAAATGAACATTCTATCTAATGCTCACCACACTCTGCAGTAGAGGAGCATCTGTGAAGCACCGAGCACAGAGTTTGACATCCCGAAGGTGTCACGTATTGAGATATATCTGGACCTGTTGCTATTTATTATGGACCCAAGATGCAACTGATCATATTTTTCAGTATTTGGTCCAATAATTAACTAAAGTGCTGACAAATCATAAAAGCAGGTAAACTAGATTATTTAATATTTCTTTTAAAAATTAACTTCACATTACTTTTTATGTGCATATGGCACTCAGTGGACTTCTCTACAGATCACCAGACTCTCTATGTATCTACTCTGTACTGTACTTTCTTAGCATTTCATCTCATCAACTTCTTGGAACTCCTCAGATGTTTTTGTTTTAATTAAACTGTTTGGGTGTAGACAACTAAAACCTGTTTTTCAAGTCCCTCATTCAAAACACAATCACTTCACAGACACAAGAGAGCACACAGTGTACGATTCCACTCTTACAGGCATTCAATAGGCAACACTAATCTGTGGTGACAGAGGGATACTGTGGGATACTGAGTGGGAAAAAGCATGTGGGAGGCCTTCTGGGGTGCGAGGATCATGTTCTGGGTGGTTACAAGACATACAGATCTGTAAATATTTATCTGTAATTTAAAATGTGTTCATTTTACTGTACTGTCAATATCATTCTTTCTGCTTAGACTGCCTTTTCTTCCCATCAAAATCCTAGCCACTGGAACTTAAAAGCTTCATTCACAAACTTACTTCTCCAGCCCATAAACTGAATATACCTATTTGGAATTGTCTTGTCTTCTAAATTCCTGTAACATTAGTTTCTACAACATTCACTTAGCATTTATATATTACCTCCTTAAGTACAGTAACTGTGTTTTTCAACTACTCTATAGACTACTTAAGAGTAAGGACTGTCTTATTTTTTGGTATCTCCCAAATGCTATCAGTTCATGAAGAGTGACATAAAAGTTACAAGGTATGTGACCTTAGATTTCCCTCACCTTACTGTACCATAATTTCATCATCCTTAAAATATGAGTAATAACATAATCCACTTCAATGGGTTATAGTGAGAATTAAATGAGCTTTCATGGGTAAAGGGTATGAAATAGTTCTGGGCATAAGTAAGCACTATATTAATTATTTGCTTTCATTATTATCATCACCACCCCAGAATTTAAAAACCAGGAAGGAACTGAACTAGTCAAACCAGTTTACATATTTGCTTGAGGGATTCATCCTAAGAAATGGACTTATAAACTGTGGCCAATGGAAACACGGCAAGCTGTATGGCCAGTCCATGTCTACGCTCAGGACTAAAGAACTATGTAATCTACTTACTTAGCCATCTAGCTACCCAAAAGGCAGTGCCTAGGTGCCTGCCGGATGCCATATGCTGAGTTAGGTTCTGGTAACAAAAAGGCGAGAGATAGTCCTGTCACGCAGGGAGCTCACAATTATTAGGGGAGAACACGCAGTATAACACCAAACACAGAAATGTCTGATGACTTACGACAGAAGGATATCTAATTCAGGTTGGGGAGGTAATGGGAGGAAATCTGAGAAGGCTTCTTAAAGTAGCACACCTTAAAGGGAAAAGGTAGAGAGGCAAAGGGATGGGCATATGCAAAGCACAGAGAAGGTTTAAGTAACCTGACAGAAGTAATAACGCCTTAACTCAATAATGGTGGTTTCCATAGCATACAGAAAAAAGGAACTAAATTAAGGACTGTCCAATGTCTGCAAAGCAAAGCAATGAACTCAGTTAAGGTACTGCCCGTTTCTGACTTGTCCTGAGCAGAGAACCTGTCTTCCTTTTTACTGATTTAACGATGAACACCTGACATAATGATTTGCACATGACAGACTCTGGTGGTAATTTTTTGATCGAGGGGAAAGACACTGAAGGGGCGTTTTTTTCAACTTGACCCCTCTCCTCAGCTTCATAATCCACTTATCCACTATCAAAAAGACCCAGGCATACAGCCCATGGTTCTCCCATTGAGCCCCTGCTTAGTCAAAGTCTCACCTGATCCAGGAGTGATGAGAGGCCCCTCTAATTCAAGTGCCTCATCTTCAGACTGGTCATCTAGCTTTTTCTTTTTTTTCTTTGTTGGATCTCTGGGTTTTTTCAATAGAGAGAGTTCTTCAGGGTGTCTGATATCTGTTAAAATAAGAAAAATTATTTTACTAGAATAATGGAAAATTTAAACACTTTACACTTGGTAAAGTCGTCTACTAATCCACTTTCAGATATAAATTTGTAATTTCCTTCTGTGTATGTGTATTTGTATTCGGGCAGATATTAATGCCATGCAGAAGACTGAAGTATGACACTTTTAAAAATAATCTACCAAAGCACTCTGAATTCATAACTATCTAATAAATGCAGTGATCTCAAAGTGGAGAGATAACAATTGACAACTGACAGAAAGAAATTCTTAGAATTCTTATTTATATATTTTTTATCTAAAACCATAATATGAAATTGAGTATTCTAGGATTGTTCTCATTTCCATATAAATTTTACAATCAACGTGTCAACTTGTATAAAAGAGCAAGTTGGAACTTTTACTGGGATTCCACTGGATCTTTAGCTCAATTTGGGGAGAGCTCACTTCTTAATTCTTGATATTCATGGACATGGAGTGTAATATATATGATATATAATGTAAGGTAATATGTATTTATTTGGGTCACCTTTAATTCTTTTTTGTTACTTTCATTTAAGTATTTTGCCACTTAGCAGATGCCTCACATGAAAATGAAGAGGAGAAACAGAGAAACTTGTAGCCATTCAATACAATGCAGAAAGTTGGAATCAATTAAAATTTTGAGATTTAGTAATGATCTGAAAGCATTTGCAGTACATTTACTTCACGTATTATGTGGAACTTAGGACATACAGGATGAATGAGGGCTACCATGCAGTATGAAGCTCAAAGCAACTTTTAAAAAGAAGAATGAAGTTGGAGGACTTAACTACCTGATTTCAAGACATCAAAAAGCTACAGCAATCCAGACCGTACAACTACTGGCTCAATGATAAGACATCTCGATGAAGGGAACAGAAGAGAGGGCCCAGAAACAGAGCCACATATAGGTGGGCAATTATTCTGGACAAAGGTGCCACGGCAATTCAAGGCGAAGGGGAAATCTTTCCAACTCTAACAATGCTGAACAAGAGATTCATATAGTTTTAAAAAAAGAATATTAGCTCTTACCCAATATGCAAAAATTAATTCTGAATGGACCATGGACTAAAAGAAAATCTAAGTAGATAAAGATTTCTTAGATAGGAAATACACACACACCACGAAAAAAATGCCCTTTATTAAAAACAAATAAAAGATCCTGCTGAGAAAAGAAAACGGCAAGCTACACAGACAAAATACTCGCAAAACATATTATGTGTATCTGACAAAGGACTTGTATCCAAAATATTTAAAGCACCATACAACTCAATAATAAGCAGATCAAGGGGCTCAAGATTTGAACAAAGACTTCAACAGAGAATACATAGTAACGGCCAAGAAGCACATGAAGAGATCTTCAATATCAGTGGTCAGGGGAACACAAATTAAAACCACGATACACCTATCAGAGTGGCCAACATTAATAAGCCTGATAATATCCAGTGTTGGTGAGGATGCAGAGGAACTGGAACTCTCATTCCTAGCTGGTGGGAATGTGAAATGAGACAATTTTTGAGAACAGTTTGGCAATTTCTTAAAACCTTAAATATATAAAATTCAGACATTCTAATCCTAGCTATTTACTCAACAAAGTGGAAAGCACATTTGTAACAGCTTTACTCATAAAAGCCAAAACTAGAAATAATCCAAATGGATAAACAAAATGTAGTATTTTCATAACAGTGGAATACTACTCACAATGGAACACAACTCATAAGTAAAAAGAAACCAACTACTGATAGATGCAATAACATGAATATATCTCAAGACCATTATACTAAGTGGAAGGAGCCAATTAGAAGAGGGTATATATTGTATGATTCCATTCATAAAATTCCAGAAAATGACAACAAATCTACAGTGACAGGGCAGATCAATGGGTGGGTGTCTAAATTTTGAGGGCTAACGAAAATGTTCTGTATCCTGATGGTGGTAGTTCAAAGATGTAAACATTTGTGAAAACTCACCTAACCGTACACTTTAAATGGGCACAGTTTATTGTACATCAATTACACCAAAATAAAGTTAATTTAAAAATAAACAAGAATAAAGAGAGGGAGAGGCAAGAAAAAAGCAGCCAAAAGGAGAAGCACTAGGCCTATAAATCCTAAGTGTGGCAGCACAGCACTCAATGGCACGGTATGAGCAGAACAGACCACAACACGCAAAGCACTGTGTAACCTGTGATGCGACAGACTCTAAGTTACAGGATCAAAGTTGCACATGCGGCATCTCGCACCTTCAGGAGCCCACGACTGAATCCAGTGTTATAAACTCAGGAAGTTTTTTGTTCGTAGGGGACCTGTCACTAGGATGGACCCTACTGCTGCAGAGCTGATGAGGCACAATTTGGCACAGAAGCACACATGCAAACTACCTGGATTCAAATCTCAGCCCCACTATTCATTAGCCATGACTTTGGATAAGCTACTCAGCCTGCCAGTGTCTGAGTTTCCTCAATGTAAAATGAGAAAAACAGGACCTCAGGAGGTCGTTGTGAAAATTAAATGATTAATATGGGTAAAGTTCTTTGAACAGGGCCTGGCACATAACAAGTACTCCTTAAGTATTAGGTATTAATGTCTTTTCCTAATTTAAAAAATATACAATCATGGTAGAAATCTGAAAATGACAAAAAAGTATAAATAATTGAGTCATTTAAAACATGTTCTTGAAAAATAGAATATGACTTTATATACAGGTGCTCACTTTAATAGACGTATAAAATTCTACTGTGTAACTATATCATAATTTAACCATTCTTCTAATACTGAGCCCATTATAAACAATGGTTCTACAAACATCTATCTTTGCACAGATTTTTCCACATTTGTTTAGGAATTCACTGGAGTAGAAGTAAAATTTAACTGGATCAGAGGTTATAATAATTTTAGGGCAGAAGTGGACCAAGATGGGCACATGTTATTTTTTAAAGCTTTGCTTATTTTAAAAACAGTATGATTATCTCCTTGTTTTAATTTACATTTCTTTGATTACTAGTGATGATGTACAGTTCCTCGTGGATTTTTAACTACTTATATATATTTCCTTCCTTTGCTAATTTTTCTATTAGAGTTCTTCAAATAAAAGTTAACTTGCGTGTAAAAATTAGCATGGTAGCAATCACTGCAAACCACACTGCACCTTCTTTTTTAAAGGAATTTATTTTAGGGGCCAGCCCCGTGGCCGAGTGGTTAAGTTTGTGTGCTCTGCTTCGGTGGCCCAGGGTTTTGCAAGTTCAGATCCTGGGCGTGGACTTACACACCGCTCATCAAGCCATGCTGAGGCGGCATCCCACATAGCAGAGCCAGAAGGACCTACAACTAGGATACACAGCTATGCACTGGGATGCTTTGGGGGGGAGAAGAAGAAGAAGAAAATAAGAAGACTGGCAACAGATATTAGCTCAGGTCTCAATCTTTAAAAAAACAAACTGCTAAAAAATTTTTATCTTATATACACCTTGTCCCATGTTTAAAAGAAACGGCCAAAAGAATCTTTTAATAACAATATGGGTTTTTTGTTTGTTTCTCTGTTGGATATTTGAATTTTACTATTAGGAACACTCTGGTACACATTAGGGTTTTGTTCTGTTCTGTATTTTACGGACTATTTTCTGGGGAATGTTCTTCTGAAACATGAGAATAGAATTACCAGGAAAACTATCCTGAACAGATTATGTTACCAGAGAGTAGGTAAACATAACTTCTATGAATTATTAATAAATTTGGGGTAAGTACATCTCAAGTACTAAATAGCAGAAATCATGTTAAAAATGAATGCATGGCCAGCCCCGTGGCCGAGTTAAGTTCGAGCACTGTGCTGCAGCAGCCCAGGGTTTCGCCAGTTCGGATCCTGGGCGCAGACATGGCACCGCTCATCAGGCCATGTTGAGGTGGCACCCCACATGCCACAACTAGAGGGACCCACAACTAAAAAAAATATACAACTACGTACCAGGGAGCTTTGGGGAGAGAAAGGAAAAATAAAATCTTTAAAAAAAATAAAAATGAAAAAACATTCATTAAAAAAGAACTTTAAAAAAAAAAAGAATGCTTGCTCCTTAAATTCTGTCACTTTCTTAAAAGCTTCCAGGCAAATCTGACTTTTTTGTTTTTTATCTTTTTTTTTTGGTGAGGAAGATTGGCCCTGAGCTAACATCTGTTGCCAATCTTCCTCTTCCCCCCTCCCCCCAAAACCACAACACATAGTTGTATATCCTAGTTGTAGGTCATTCTAGTTCTTCTACGTGGGAGGCCATCACAGCACGGCTTGATGAGCGGTGTGTAGGTCCACACCGAGGATCTGAACTGGTAAACCCTGGGCTGCCAAGGTACAGGGGATGAACTTAACCACTTGGTCACGGGGCCGGCTCCCCTGATTTCTTTTTTAAGTTAAAAATAGTACAGCAAATTCTTTAGCTAAAGTTACACAATGAAAATCACAGATTTCCTTCACTGTTGTATAGTCAAGGTATAAAGACATTAACATACTTATTCTCAAATCTACCTTTTGGGGTTTGATGTATTTTGGGGGCTTTGATGCATTGCTATGATTCCATAGATTCAGAAACTCAGAAGATATTTCAAGTATATCTTTTGAGCCATATTTATCTAATTAACAGAACCGAATCATCATTTCCTAGGCTTTTAAAAGAAACAAGATTTAACATCTAACAGACCTAACAATTTAGGAGTTGCACTTTCAATTTTCAGTGTTCCCTCAGCTTTAAATGTTAACACTGCCATGTTGGGAGAAAAGAAAGGCATTAGAAAATTCTAAGCTTGTGAATAATCAGTTATCTACACCACTTCAGGATCAGTAAGGGCAGGGTGGTGGTGGTGATCTCTCTCCACCCATTTGTTCCTCCCAAGTCGATCATGTACTGGCACAGGGTGAAAAATCCAAAAAGCGTGGAAGTTCATGCCTGGGAGAGAGGACGTGCTTCTATCACCTCACCCTCTATGGT